ATCAGTTTTTCTGCATCATTTTAGGACAAAATGTTTCTAATTTTAGTGATATTACTCAGGTGGAAGAAGGTGGTCCTGGTAAATAAAATGGCTGGGTGCATTTTTTGGTGTTTGGACTGCTTCTGGAAGCAGTAGAGACCCAAAAGTAAGTTTAAAAACATGAAAACAGTGAATTTAGCATAAAAGGTGCCCTTTAACTCATGTAGGTTTCCAGCAGGGCACCTTTAATGTGTCATTTCTCATTCTTCAAGCTGTAGATTCACACACAGAACTATCTGTTTCACTATTGGAATGTGAACATGTAAGAGATGATACAACAGGAAGTATACCGTCCTGCTGCCATGTGCCTGATGTTCAACCTGATTGGCTCAGGATTCCTACAGAGCTCAGCTTCAGATCAGAGAGCCTGTTGGCCCCTCAGGGTCACCTGTTGTTACCCTGGTGAGCTCTGAAGTCCTCTACAGACTAAAGGAGTCCCTTCACCTTCCAGCACCTCAGCTAAAGGCTACAAGAAAGATGGATACTTTGAACAGTTGTTGGGCACATGGACACAGARGACTGTCAAAGCCTGCCCCCCCACCTTAAGGCAGGGCAGCAGCATTGTTTCCTGTGGGATCTACAAAACAATCCCAAATCCACGTGTCCCTCTGTAAGATGTAATGTTTTCTGTTTTCCAGAATGAAAGAAAAGCTGCAGTCCTGAACAACAAAGGACCACCTTCACATAAAGCAAACCACAAGGAAACTTAAACACAGCAACACTGCTCAAGTTGATAAAAACTTACTCTTAAATGTTGTCTTTTYGTTCAGGTTTTATGTTTCAGTTGTGTAAGACAGTAAAATGACATGTTTRTGTTACTAATGAAAATAATTCTGTCTTACAGGAGGTTTTTTGACCAATATGGGACTGGTCCCTTGGCCTTCAACTTGTTAAAACCAAACTTTGTATCCACATGTCAAAGGTATGTTTGACAAGTTATTTTATGAATTATAAAAACAGCTGAATACTTGTTTTAAATCTGTTGTTGCTCTTCGTCTGAATGAAAGACGTTTGTCCTCAGTTTGATGTCTTCACAAACTACAACACCTTTTCAACAAGCTGATAACAGAAATAATTTACTAACTCAGTATGAATCAGCATTGATTCAACAAGTCACTCAGGTTTCTGTCAGTAAGTTTCTTAGCTGCTTTGATACTGGTTCTGTGGGCCTCATCTCCASTCTTACTTTGATTGTTAGTTTGATAAGTTTACTTTGAAGCTACATTATTTCTGTTAAAGGGAGCCAGGATTAGTTGTAACATTAGATTTTATTTATTTATCATATATTTTAAAGTGACCAACAACAAACGTGGTGACTGATCCTGGTGTTTCTGGAGACCTGTAGGAGCTGTGGTGACAGAGCTTCACTCCTCCTCCTGTGAGCAGAGCGTTAAGCCCCGCCCCTTTCCTGAAGCACCCCCCCCTTTTATATGAATATACATATAGTCCTGTGAAGTTCAGTGTTTATAAAGTTCACTTAACATGGTTAACATCATGTTTCATGAAACAACAAACAGAAATGGTGAAAAGATAAAGCCACAGATAAATTTGTTTTATTGTAATCTGCGCTTTAAATAAATCTGTTTATTGTAAAACACATTGATTTATTGCTTCTGTTTGTTTGAAGGTTTATAGAGAAACTGAGAGGAAGGGATGAGTAAATTTATTTCTGTCCTACAGGTTTGTCATGTGCTACACAGACTTACAGACAAACAGCTGTGGTGAAGTCAAACCCTCTGACCTGTTCGACAGGACCACAAAGACCTTAGAGGCTGAGGGGGTCGTCCTCAAAAAGAGAGAGCATCACCGGGTAAAACATCAAGTCCTCCATCAGAGAACATGACGAGTTACAGTCAAACATGCTAACACATCTTTGATTCTCCTGAACAGTGCTTGGTAAAACATTTKATGTTGATAAAACCTGATGACTCACATGATGTCTCTTCTGTTCTTCTGTCACTAACAGTTAATTCTCATTCATCAATGTTTTACACATCATTGATGACGTTCACTAACCAGAGAAACTCAGTATGTTGTAAAAATGGACTTAAAGGCAGCTGTGTGTTGAACACAGAAGCAGAGCAGCTGTTTGTGGTGGTAAACATGTCTGATCTCTAACACGTCACACTGTGCAGGTCTGTGGAAACACACCAAACATTTTAAAGTCATATCTTCATGCTGTGGGATAAATATAAACCTTTAATCCATTATTTGTTCAGAATCTTAAAAAACTGAACAAACCTAGAAATGAGCCTGGTGTTAGAAGATGTTTAAACACAAACATTATTAAGAATAAAAGAAATAAATGTTTGAACAATGTAAGAAACTTTATATAAAATACCTGACATACCTTTAATGAACACAGATCTGCTGCTTTTCATTTTTACAGCTTTAAATTAAAGAGTTGTGAAACACTAACATGATGTGACGATGTGTCAGAACTACACAACCTCACAAACTGGGACTTGAAGGATGAGTGTAAATAAATTAKAACAAATCAAGATGTGGCTGCTGACACACTCTAAGGATTAAAATGAGATCAAGTGGTTCAACTGTTCATTTCAGGCTGTTTATAAGTTTTAACATTGATTTACCCCACAGGACATTTATTTTACTAAAGTTACAGAACTGAAGTGACAGTAAAGATGAAATGTTTTTACACCACAGGAACTACTGTGTGTAGTGCAGGGACAACCTGCTTCTTGTTGTATGAATCATTTAAAACTGTTTTTATTATTTTTTGCAGAGAGCGTCCAGGATCCAGGACTCTGAGGAAAACTGAGTTGAAGCTCTTGTTTTAAGGAAACGAAGCAGATGAATATTTGTCAGCATCACTTCCTGCTTTGTTCCTAAAACTTGTTGTTGTGAGATTTAGTGTCATTTTTCCTGTTTCCTCTGCTCATCGTTCATCTACAGGAACAATGTCAGAATCTGTCCTGAACTTATATGACTGTCTGGATGTGACTGAAATAAAAACAATGAGAGAAAGCTGATTGTCTCATTATAAATGTAAACAAGTGATAATTATTCGTAGACATTTCCCTTCACATACATCAGATTTATAAGAGTTTGTCTTGTTTCTTTAAACTCTGTTGTCTCAAAGAGAGGTTGAAATGAGGTGAAAGTCTTGACCTTTAATTTATACTTGAATGTAAAGTCCTGAGGCAGGGTTGGATCATCCTGCTGGTCTTCCTCTGCTCCACCTGATGAATGGATGATTAATTCACTCACTCACTCAGGTGTGCTGGAGCAGGTGTGTCATCTTACCTGCAGGCAGACATTTACAAAGAGGGGCAGCACCATGGCTCAGTTGGTAGAGCTGATGCCTCTCAGCATGGAGGTTGCTGGTTCAAATCCTGGTAGAGTTTGCATGTTCTCTCCGTGCATGTGTGGGTTTTCAATTCAATGGGTTTTAATTGAAGCAGAATAACTTATTGTCAACATAATTATGGAGTGTGATTTATTTTCAACTCTAAATCTCTTCAAACTAACGAAATATAAAGTTATTAGTGAAGAAAACCCGTCTGGATAACAGCAGACTGACTGCTGGTAAAATATACGACAGGTCTGGACCACTCCTGAATTTTGTTCGTATCTGAAGAAAATCTTAGAATACGAAAACATTGGTGAATGTTACAAATTCTCCTAAATCACTCGTACGAACAGAACAAATCTGTGCGTACGAACGGTTCTTGCATGAGGCCCAATGGGTTCTCACCAGACTTTGTACTGAGAAAATGGTCAAAAATTGTCCCCACCAAGTACATACATGTCAACCTCTTCAGACGTTTACCTGTATAAAGAGCCTCAAAAATCCATAAATTTTGCAAGCATCTGCTGCGAAGCAGGAGAAAAAGGAGAGCGGAAAAAGTTCTAAACTTATTTCT